TTTCACCTTGGGAAGTTATTTAAACCCAAAGTTTAAGTACCTCATCTATAAAGTGAGCATAAGAGTGCACCCTTCACAGGGTGCACAGTGTTCATGCCTGTGTAAACTTTTACTTTTGCCTGGTTCTTAGTCCTTAGTACAGGGTATTATGATTATGATTATGATTATTACTATTTTTGGTACTGGGGATTAAACTCAGGACCTTGCACTTGCGAGGCAGGTGCGTTGCCACTGAGCTAAATCCCCGGCCCCAAGCACAGGGTCTTGTACAGGAAGAATTAGTCAAGAACAGTTTATTGACTTTTTGAATAAAATAGCAGAACCAAGATTTGAATCCAAGATTCTACATCAACTTTTCTTTTTTTATTTTTTTCAACTCTTCTTTTTACAGCAGCTGTTTCAATACAATATTGTACAGTATGTGATGTTCAGAACATTCCAGAATCTCAGATGAGGAACAGTAAGGTTGGGGGCATTAGAAAGCCAGTGTAGTAACGGGAACACAAAAGTCGCTCAAAGCCAGTCTGTTCATACTGTTTTCAAATGACCGCAGTAGGACAATTCACTTTTCACCCTCTGCTGCCTCCCTGTGGTCATGCTAGACAACTCAAGCTTTTGGGGGAATTATTTGATTTCCTTCCTCCCAAATCACCTTTGGGATTTTATGTAACGTCTGTAATTTGTTCAGTATAGCTTTGTTCATTAATTCATTTTAGTAAACACATAAAATTTTAGTGAAATTAGAATTATTAACATAGCTGATAACAGCACTGTGGGTGTGGGAGTTAAACCAAGATTTCTTTAGTTCACTGGGCTGAAATTAACTTTAAAACTGAAACTCTTAGGAAAGGGGAAAGATGTTTAGGGTCTTTTAAGTGCTAATCACAGGTAGTAGTACACTGTCACTGAATACTTTAAATTGGCCCAGTAATTCAAATTGCTTTAGGGAAGAAAAGAAAGATTGGAAATTAAATAACTGAGATAAGAGATAGCAATTAGGTACTAGAAAATGAAGTTTGAGTCTTCATCATTTAGAAAAGATACCTCTAGCCTTTCAATGTTGGTGATTTCCAAGTTGTGACTCCTAACCTGTATAATGATTTAACTTAAACTTTGAGAAAAGCAAAAATGTATAAATTAGTCTTTTGTTTTTAAGGAGTTTTCACTTAAAGGATAGCTTTGTCCTGGAGTATGATCATCTTTGCTAATTCCATCTTGCCTGTTCCAAGAGGCAGCTTTGCAGACAGCATGTCCAGTGTTTTAGACAGCAGGCTCAGAGTTAGATGACTGAATCTAGCCCATATCTGCTAAATAATTTTTAGCACAGGACTCAAATTCCTAAAGTCTCACTTTTTACTGTAGAATGTGAATAGTAATCATATTGACTTCAGAGTTTTTGTAATGACAGAATAAAAAAATTTATGAAAAATATTTATTATAGGGCCCAAGGTAGGGAGCTGGGAAGGGGACAGCCATTACCAGGATCTCTGCCTTGGGTCCTGGCCTGTGAGCCACCACAGCATAAAGCAAATTCAAGAACAGACAGAAACGAGACTTAGAATAGAGAAACTGAGTGTTTTGGGTCCTAGTCAGTGCTGCTGATGGCAGCAGAGACAAAGGCCCCTAAGCACACCCAGTATTTATTGAATATAATCATGGGAAGGAATAGGTAGCAGGGTGTAATTTGAAGGCATCTAGAGAAATACTGCCAAACACCCGGCATGATGGCACCAGGCAGGGCTGCTAGGGAGTAAGCACTATTCATCTTGCTTGGCTGGAACAAACTGGTACTGGGACTGGGTGCAATTAGCATGCAACCTACTGGGTCAGTGAGTAGCCAAAATTCAGGAGAAGGGGTTTTAATTGGGGTTACACTGACCTCAGCTACATGTAACTCAGCAGAGTCCTGCAACTTCACAGACCAGGGTCTAGGTTTCTGTAGCAGCCATGAAGGGACAGGCTATACTTGCCCAGTTCATTATCTGACATGCCCATTTGAGTCACATGGAGCTTCAGTCTGGTGCCTGATATAAAACAATATAGCTGAATTATGGAAGGCAAGAAACACATGCAATTGTAGCCTGCTAGTACTGGGCAGGGATGTCTCCTACAGTTCAAACTATCCCAGATCATTCTCACCATACTGATGTGAGAACATTAGTATTCTATTTGATTCATACTGATCCCATTGTTTTATCACCAAGATCCTAGGAGAAAGATTTTGGTAAGTTAAATGCAGTTCATCCTTAAGATTAGAGCCAATCCCCACAGTCTAAAGGACTTCTTTGGTCAAAGGAAAGAAAGACTGAGGACACTGCTCAATTCTAACATTTTGAGTATGGGAAGGAGACAGCCCCACATCCTTACATTTCTCCTTGGGCTTGATTTCACTGTCTCTAATCAGGATTTCCATTCACTCCTGGGCCTGTTCTCCTTTGCATTTGATGATTCCTTCTTCAAAGTCTGTACCTCTGCACCTTGGTAAGTGACTGGGGCTCTCTGTGAACAGACTGATCTCTCTTCTTGCCTGGACACTGGTCAGACTCTATGTATCTCTTGGTTACCACCTCCTTGATTCTCCTGGCTCAAAATGGGATTTTTTTTTTTTTTTTTTGTGTACTGGAGATTGAACTCAGGACCTTGCTCTTGCAAGGCAGGAGCTGTTCCACTGAGCTAAATACCAGCCCTGGTCTGGAGATATTCATGGCTTCTATTTCATACCACCTGCCAGACTGACCTTCCTTGGTGTCCACATAAACTCAGTATCCCTCCTTTCCCCAGAGGGCCAGATGGTGCCAGGTGCACTTTTATCTTTCTTGTTTGTATGATATAACAACAAACCAGGCCACAGCAAACCAGGTTTTGAACTAATATATCATGTTTTCTCTTTGAGGGGTGAGTTTTTGCCATCACTACTTTGGACTGGACCCAGAGCTAAGTTTTTTATTAAATTGTGATAATTATCTGCCTCTATTATTTGTGCCTTTCTTTTTCTTGTGTTAATAGACTAGGCTTTTATTATATTTGTGCTTCTTACTATAAGTCACCTCAAATCCTATGATAGTAAATGTGGTATCAACTTAAATAAAAAAACACCCAACAGATTAGTTTAGTACAATTCTGAATGTGTCTGGATGATTGATTTACTGAGGAGGAAAGACCCATACTGGGTGTGGTTAGCACCAACTGATATTCTTGTAATCTGAATGGAATAAAAAAGGGAAAGGAGAAGGAAATCCTACTTTTTCTTCTTCAGAGGTGCTCCAGTCTTTGCCATTGCTTTTGGACATCCATCTCCAGGCCTCCAGCAAAAACTCTTCAGCCTTCCAACCCAGCCAGTTGGACTCAATTGGTACTGTAGTGAGTTCTAGGCCTTCAACTTTTTAAAATAGTAAAACATTTATTGGTAAATTTTAGGCATATGTAATGATAATACTCATTATTGGGAATTTGCACCTGTGCATAGCACACCCCACCCTTTTCCCCCATTGCTCTCTCCATTTTGTACATTGTATTGTACATGGTGTCGTACAATATTATTGAAATATAGAACAAATAAATTGACTTTCACCTTGATGACGTTTATCCTATTTAAATGAACAGTCAAATAAAAAAAAAATGCAAAACTGGTGAGGAATTTTTACCTTCAGTTTCCTTGATTCCATAAATGATGGTATCATTTCACAATTCATAAAATCTTTTCAATATTTTACTCCAACTTGGCTGCCTCACTTTAGAAAAGTAAATGATGTCTCCATAATCAGCATCTTTACTTTTAAGGAACTCGTGGAATTGGTGATTTGATCCCTAGGACCTCATGAAATTCACAGCTTTGATGATGATTTCTATAACATCTTTTTGTTGTTTTTTTTGAGACAAGGTCTCCCTACATAGTTCAGGTTAGTCTTGAACTCACTATTTGAACTCATGGGATTCTCCTCCCTCAGCCTCCTGAGTGCTGGGATTATAGGTCTGCACCACCATGCCCTGTTCCCATAACATCCATTTTTAAAGCTTGGATTTCTTTTATGTATGATGTAGCACTATTTTATTAAACGTGCCTTGCCAGCAACAATTGCATTTATAAATACCTCTTTACTTTTTGGTACCAGGGATCGAACTCAGATCCTTGTGCTTGCAAGGCAGGGGGCGGAACCACTGAGCTAAATCCCCAGTCCTTTTTTTTTTTTTTTTCTTCTTTTTTTTGAGACAAGCTTTCTTTCTGTAATTCAGGCTGGCCTTGAATTCATTACATAGCCTGACAGGCTAGCCTCAAACTTGAAGCAATCCTTCTGTCTCAGCCTCCTGAGTGCTGGGATTATAGGTGTGTGCCACCAGATCCAGTTTAGATGCCTCTTATTCACCATCCATCACAGGTACCACTCTGGCTACACCAGATATGGTAACAAAGTTCGAAGAAAATCAATTATTTTTATTGTTTCATACAAATAAAGAGATTTAGCTGTATTTTAATGGCATCAAATAAGCTATTTCTTCAGTGGTACTATATTCCTAATCTATAATACTGCTATTAAAAAAAGTTGAACCATATCTCTCACATCAGCACTTTCATCTGTTGCCAAAGAATAAAGTTTGAAATTAGCAGCTTCACTCTTAAATCTTATTCAGCAGACTTTTCCCCACTTCCTCAATTCATCTGGCTCTCATCTAGTGAGACAAACTGATTTAGAAAAATTAATCAGGGTGCCTTATTTCTCTCAATAAAAAAGCACTCAGGCATTTTTCATCTTCTTCCATTTTTCTTTTTTTGGGGGGGATCTGTTTTCTTTTGAGATGATGATAAAGCCATTTTGGGGCTCTGAATCACCATTCACCCGCCTCACCTCAAGGTCTCCGGTGACCCTCTGAGTCTCTGGGTGACTGAAGTGCTGGCATTTAAGGTTTATTTACCGTCACCATGGAAAGCACGGCTGCCTGTGCAGAGCGCTACATCCACCGACACTTTACTTCCGGCTCTTCCGGCTGCTTGTGTCGTGGGACATCCGCCGTCACTCTACTTCCGGCTCTTCAGGTTCGGGCACCTGGAAGAACAACCCGATAGTCTCCCCCTTACCCACTGCCATTGCCTGAGTGACCACGGGGGGGCTCCCAAATCCCACCTTCTCTGCCGCTGGACAGAGCCACATTCAACTTTTGACTGGATCCTCCGGCTCTTCAGTATGCAGGTAATCAAGGTAAACTTACCTCATAAATCCTTTATACTCCTCTAGTGAATTGTATCTGACACAAATCCTTTTGGGAGTTTTAAAAGTCATAAAAAAATGTTTTTTTTGAAGAGAATGCCAGCCTACCTCATTTTAATTTTTCTCCTGGTACTAGGGATCAAACTCAGGACCTTGTGCTTGCAAGGCAGATGTGGCAACACTGAGCTAAATCCCTGATCTCTAGCCTACCTCTTAAGAATCAGTCAGATATATCTTCATGGGGCCCATTCTGGTGATATTTAAAAATCTCTGGGAAAGAAGTGTCAGGGAGGAAAACTATATTTACTTTCCAAAATAAGCCATCCAGACCAGTTGGATTTTTATTGCAGTGGAGCTTATTCCCCACTATATAAAACCAATATCTGCTTTGGAAATATGAACTCTAAATATGAGAAGAGAGAAAACAAACAAAAAGGAGAAAAGTTCCTGGGCAGCTGGCAGCTAACAGCAAGCTGAATGTAGTGCTTCTGCTGAACATAAACAACATTAGATGAGTTCACCCCATGACTGTATGAAACAAGACAAAAATGAGTCACTTCTTAATGAGGACTAAATATGAGATGGTCAAGATGCTGTGCTACCACAAAAACTCCTCCTCCTCCTAATGTGAGTGGCCACTGCTTCTGCATCAGTGACAACTGCAGCTCCACTTGGTTCTTATTTTATTATTATTATTATTATTATTTTGAGGCAAGGTCTTACTTTGTAGTCCAGGCTGGCTTCTAACTCACAGTGATCCTCCTGCCTCTGCCTCCCAAGTGCTGGGATTACAGGTGTGTACCACCACTTGGTTCTTTCTGATTCCTAGATAATTTATAATCAGGGCACCAATCATTAAATTGTTCCTTCTTCCTGCTGGTACCCAGTTGGAAACAAATCCCCATTTCCTTGAGTCCCAAAACACATGACAGCTCAAACCCTCTACAAGTCTGTGACGAGCCTGTGATTTCCTCTTCCTGAGATGCTCTGCAGATCCTGGGGTGAGTTCTATCTGGTGACAGCTGGTTATTACACCTGGTTGTGACTCTTTCTCACAGAGCTTCCACATATCTCCATTCTCCAGGAGTCTTGGCCAAATCTCCTGCTCAGGACAAAGTAACAGCCACTGTTACCACTAGCTGTTGCCCTAGACTAGGGCCACTCCTGGCTGCAATAGCCTCTAGGAAAGAAATATCTTTAAACACATTCAAGTCAGCACTGAGCCAGTGATTTGTGAGTTGAGCAGCCCTTTATTTTTTTTTTTAATTTTATTGAGTTTATTGGTACATTTTAGGGATACAGTACAGTTACATTCATTGTTGGGATCATGTACCTCTACATGGCAAGTCTTGATTCTCATTTTTTCCCCTTACCTCTGCCCTCCCTTCACCCCCTCCTCCCCTCCCCATCTACAAACACTTTATTTTCATCTTTTCATTCTCTCACATTTTTTTCTTTTCCCTTTTTGTTCTTCCCCTACGCGTCACACCTTCCCTACACCTTTAGCTCCTTTCTTCAAATTTCTAAATGTCAGTAATCTTATTAGAATCTTATGCATTGTTGCAGAATATTCACACCAGGGAAACTATTTGGTATTTACACATGTGTGACTTATTTATTTCACTTAGGAGTATATCTTCAATATGTATCCATTTTCCTATGAATGAATCTATTCTCTCGCTCTTTATGGCTGAGTAATATTCCATTTTATAGAAAAACCACAACTTCTTTATCCAGTTTCCAACGGATGGGCAAATAGGCTGCTTCCAAGATTTAGCTATTACAAACTGTGCCGCTATAAACATGGGTGCACATACTTCTCTGTGATATGATTCTTTTAGTTCTTTTGGAAAGATACCCAGCAGAGGGATGGCTGGGTCAAATGGAACCTCCAGTCCAAGCTCTTTGAGGTATCTCCATATTGATTTCCATAGTGGTTGCACTAATCTGCACTCCCACCAACAATGGAGGAGGGTTCCTTTCTCCCCACAACCCTGCCAACATTTGTTATTGTGTGATTTCTTGATAGCAGCCATTCTTTGTGGGGTGAGGTGGAATCTTAGTGTTGTTTTCATCTGCATCTCTCGAATGACCAGTGATATGGAACATTTTTTCATGTGTTTACTTGCTTGAGCAGCCCTTTAAAACAGAACAGCTTTAGAGAGTTTCAGCCTGTGACCTGATCAGGCAGCAGTTACAGAGAGGTGCAGAAACATCTTGCTTGGTTACAGCTCGGCCTCTGCCTTATTTGAACATGATCTAGTCTGTTGGCCACCTGCCATTGACTGAAGCCTGGCTTCTGATTTGTTAAGCCTCAGCTTGTAAGACTCAAAGTCTCACTTCCACTCCATGGAGCATGAACAGCCAAAAAGGCCTCTGTGATGCTGGGCCCTAAAACCCAGTGAGGCTCCGGGAGCTCGACGGAGAAAGGAGAAACCCAGGAGGGAACACACCACGCTACACCTTTATTAGTCTGGCTAGATGGCACTCCTGGAGCCAGGTAGCTCAGAGAGGCAACTGCTCAGGGGCTGAGGTCCTTTCTATAGGGTTTTTCTAAAGAAAAAGTCAGGGTATTCACAGAACTACCAGAGGACAAGATTTCAAACACATTACTTATCTCATGCAGGAAATGTTCTATGGTTACCTTTTGTCATACCATTTGCCCCTTGGCAGGCTGTTAGCGAAAGTAGCAATTAGCATATGAAGAAGCACAGTCTGGCCTATTAGCATGGAGTCAGTTTAGCTTATTCAAGTCTTACAATCCCCACTGATCTTAGGTAGAATCAAATCCTTGATTTATCATTTTATTTAAATTTTTAGCTAAGGGGTCATAGCAATTTCTAAAGGCATCTCTTAGACATCTAAATTGGGGATTAGGATCCCCAGAGCACATAAAGTTTTTATATTTTTATCATCTGTAGGCTCATAAACTCTTAATTTAGAAGCATAATAACTCATAACAGTTTGACACAATATAAGAGTCTATATCTAGATAGTAGTTCTCATTCTTCAGCTGTGTGTAGACTCACCAGCTTCCGGTGTGGTGAGAGCAGGGCTTTGAGTGCATTGTCTATTGGTCTCCTGGAGTTGAAATCCCTGGAATTTTGTTTTACTCTACAGTGGTGGTAGCTGAGTTTCAGCTAACTCGGTAGCTGTGGGAGCAACCATAAGTGACTCATATGGCCCTTTTTATATAGGTCAGAAAGGGGTCCTTTTTAAATTTTAACATAAACTTGGTCTCCCAGTTTTATCAGATGGGCAGGAGTTAGCACAGGAAGGTCTTCTTTATTTTTAATTTACCCTTGAATATTTTTCTTAAATACTTGCCCAATTTTAACCCCTGTGATTTCATACTGGATAAGCCCAGTAGAGATAATTTTACAAAGTCTCTACAACCTCTGTTACAAATGCTGGCCCATTGTCACTGCCTATGGAGAGAGGCAGACCAAACCCTGGAATTTTTTTAAAAAAATAAAATCTTGTATACCTCTGAAGCCCTCAGGTTATCTAGAAAAAAGTACAAATCCATGCTAACACATATTTATAACCTTTATAGGGGGTGGGTATAATCATCTAAAGTTTAGTTGCCCTTTTGGCTTATCTACCTTAGCATTGCCATTTGCTATTGCATCTTTTTCTTTTTGAATTATTATAGCTATTTTGTCAGATTTTTACATTGCCTCAAATAACTATATTATATCCTGCTTAATTTTAATAAGTTTGCCCTCTGTTGTGAGAAGCACACATTTTTATAGACCGTGCCATAGATATATCAAGTGGCAAACAGGAGTCCATATAAACATTTACCCTCTTTTCTTTTGCCCATCGGAGAGCCTGTATGAGTGCCCACAGTTTTGCTTATTGAGCTGACCATCCAGTGGGGAGGGGTCCTACTTTAACCACTTCATTTTGAGTCATCTCTGCATAGCCAGCATAGCATACCCCATTTTCCATGAAGCTGCTCCCATCCTTGAGCAGGACAAAATCAGCCTCAGGAAGGGGGTCTTTCTGCAGATCTGAGGCCATTATGGTCAGAGGGCCAGGCTGTGAGGTCAAAAAGTAGCAGGGTTTAAGGTTTTAACTGGAGCAAAATATGGGGGGGGGATTTTCACAGATGAGGGCCTGATATTATGTGACTCTATTATTTGATAGCCATCAATGTCTTGTTATTCAATAGTTCTAAAAGGAATGGGAAAACTGAATAATTTATTTTTTCCTAATGTTATCTGGTCAGCTTTTTCAATTAGCATTACTGCTGCTGCCAGGGCTTTATAAACAAAGGAACTATCTCTTTACAGCTCGATCTATACTCTAAGATAAATATATCACTGGCTAATTCTATGGGCCTATTCCTTCAATGAGCACCCCTAAAGCAGTATGATTTCTTTTAGTCAGGTACAAACTAAAAGGCTGGGTCATATTTAGGATCCCTGATACGGGGGCAGCAGAAAGAGTTAGTTTTACCTGTTTAAATGCTGACTCTTGCTCTTCACTCTATAATAATCACTGTCTTTTGGGCTCTTTAAAGATTTATACATACAGAGAATCTAGATCCTGTAAAAACCTTTTATCTCAAAATTTTTTATCTGTTTTAAGTCCTTTTATCTCTAAGCAGCATAAACTTTGTATCCTGCCTCTTGAAGCAGCATTAATACTCTCTCAATATCCTGTTTTTTATTTAGTACATCCAAAATTAATAATAATAGCAATTTTATGTATAAAACTTCATAACTTTTAATCTAATTAGTATCAAAGGCATTTTTATAGAACCTCTTAATAACTTTTTTTACAGAAATCCTATTTTGAAAATGAGCACTATAAACATATCACAATAACATATTTAGAATTTAACCCTTTGATGATAACCAACGTAAACATTCTTTAACAACATATTTGGCCATGTTTACTGGGGGTATATCTTTTTAGAAGGCATTAGTGAATAAAGACCAGGATAAAATTTTTTTTTAGTAGCTATCCTTTTTACTATTAGC